GACAGAACAAATTCATATCTTGAAAGGAGATTCATATCTTGGAAGGCTCTCGCATTGAACTATTGGGAGATTCGCATGAAGAGACGAGATGACTGACTAAGACATGAGTTCATACTCTCGCACTACTGGACTGTAACAGTCCGTGAATTTGTAGGCTATTTGGGTACGTTCTCGTAATACACACTCAAAAAAATACTCTTGTGACGAAGGACTTCAACCCGCAGTGTAGATCAATTCTCGGAAGGCTCTTATGCTGCGCGACTTGACAATTAGTATGCCGGAAAACGATGGATGTAAGCAAGTTGATAATGTATACGTCACTAATGGATTTAATAGTTGATGAATTCATATTCCACTTTGTTATGTTCTCATAAACGAAACCCGAAAGTACTCCGGCCCAGGCAGGATATGAACTGGCAGCACACATCCCTAACTTGGAGGGCTCTTCGATTAAACTACTGGGCCATTTATCTTCATTTGGTAGATGTGATGAATTATTCCAAGTATATATCATACAAAGCTGATTCGTGAAAGTAATAGGATGCGTATGAGCACATATGATGCGTGGATGAATTTACAGATTCAGTTGGAGGTCATGCAAGACTTCAACCCGGAGCATAGATACACGAGTTGGAAGGCTCTTCAGTGAGCTCCCTGGGCCATTCACATGAGGAGAAATATGTGATCCGGCTACAGTTCATCATTTTCTGTAGGAATCACATATTCTCACAAAGCACACGAAGGAAGTGGCTGCCCAAGCGGAAATCACAGCACAGACCCACGAATAGGAAATCTCTTGCACTGAACTACTTGGCCATTAGCCTGGAAAGGGTGATGAGTAGGATATGATAGATCAACAAAATATAGTCAAAAATTACTGCACTACCCATGCGCTGATACATGTTTTTTCACTGAGATAATGAGCCAAGCACGCTTATGACACATAAGCAACTTTATTTTGGGCAAGATCTATGCGTGCAAATATGGACTATGGATGCTGGAGAGTATAATTTAATTGGAAAGTAGAAAATCTATATGAGCGATGAGTACTTAGTCTTTTGAACGAGCTAAGCAGCTGAAGAATAAGCATAGTGATTTATTTTTCGCATATAAACTTCAGAATGAACCATGTATGTACTATCCATGGCGTTCAACAATTTTTGAAGTACAAGAAATAATACTACTGATGCAAAAATTCTTGTATGCATGCTACAAACTTTAATAAAGCTAAAATAAAAAAAAATAAGAATCTTAAGGTTCTAACATCCAAACATTGTTAAAAGCAAAGTTCATGCTGCAGTATCACAAGTCAAAATCTAATAATTCATTGCATGATACTCCATTCATATATAATTTATGAAACTCTTTATTCAATTACATATTTAGTTAGATTTAAATTTGAAGAGTAATTTACAAGGTAAGATCGTATATTGTATGGGCGATAATACTTTTATTAGTTGTCAAAGAATTCACCATAGTTAATTAAATATGACTAAGTCTATACAATTATAACTAAATTTAACTACAAATATTTATGCTTGACGGAAAAATAAGAATAACTCTAGAAGGTTTGAATGTGCATTTTTATTTTATTTTTTACAAGAATTTAGATTCCAAGGGGAAAAAAATTGATTTTATTTTATTTTGATTAGCTTTATTAATTATTGAGAACTTCATTGATAACAGTAATTCTAATATTCATTTAATGACAAATGAAGATTGTGGAAGTTGAAAAATCATAAATAACATGTAGTTATCTCAATGTAGATATTATTAAACTTCTAGATTGTATGTAAATCCAATGGCATGTTGATACACATGTTGAAATTTTTTATGATTTTTTTGTAAAAATAAGATAGATAAAAATTAACAATTATTATTATAATAAATATTCAAATAAATTTAAAAATTTATATTTATACACTTATTTTATACGTGAAAGAGTGACATTTTTTAATATCTTAAAATATTGATATTTATAATTTAATTAATAATTAAAAAAAAGTGTTAATTTGATATGAGTATGAACTAACGCAAAATCATCTGAAATGAATCTAAATGAAAATAAACCCGAAGATTTTAACACATAATTTGATTCAAAATAAATTTTTTCTAAATTAGTTAATAATAGAAATACAATTTCTATCATTCAATGTACCGTGATTTATAATCATTGTAGTAGAACGGCCTTGCCTTCAACCTCAATTGGTAATGTAAACACCAGCACTCAATAATTCAAAGACCACATCTCAAGTATTCACACTAAAAAATGAATTTTTTCGTCGCTATTCCAACTTCATCCCAGAGGCTAATCAGTAGATATTAACCTTCAAATCGTCGTGGGATAGATAGGTGGGGTTCGAGATTCTGGACTCTGACGTGTAGGTTGAGATTGGAGATCAAACTTTCACTCGGTTCGTTTTCAAGTGTCGAGATATGCATGTTGCTAAGCTGTTCCAAAGCCACCAACGCAATTGGGCGACAGATTATTCTTCCTCAGATTTAATCGTAATGATAGTTGATCGCAAGGGATCACAAGTTCTTATCCTTGGCTTATAAAATCCGTCAGAGAGGTACCATTTGTAGAGCATGTTTCTTACAATCGGAGGTACTTAGCTTGTAGCAGACCATGGGTCATAACACCGGTGAGACGCTTCAAAGAGTGAGATTGAGCACAATCTCTTCAAATGCATTGATAATACTCATTTTGACAAATAGTACACATAGAAACTTTGACGTAATACAACAACAAGCGGACTGGACACAGTAATCATACTCCTGGATCTGGATACACAGTAATTAGACAAAATCTTCCGGTAATGAAGAAAAACATTGCGACAAAAGTTTAGACGAGAACTCCATCAGGAACGATCTAAACCTTTGTGCCTTCCCCAAAGACAGGAAGTGGTGAGTCGACATCGATATTGCAGCCACTCGACACTATGTTGCAGCAGCAACAGCACTTCATGATAAGCACCAGCCTCAGCAGATACTCGCACTAGATTATATCTTGGACTTCAACCTCGGTGGTAGAGGTTTTACTGCCGTGCAACTACCACCCCTCCGACCTACCATCGTCAGGAGAATTTAACCTCTCATAGAAATTTTCTGTATCTCGGAATAAACTGGGCAACAATTATTTTTTTGTAATAGGCAGTTTCCATAACAGTATATTACAGTAATAGCGTACGTAATACTTATAGTAGAATAAAAATGCCAATGCAAATGAGATAGTTCAGAATTTTGTACTTGTGCAAGAACTAGAATGTTACATCCTCGAATAGAAATGGTTTGTTTAAGAAATTTGGAGCCGTATGGCAACCATTCCAATAAATTTGAACTCAAAGAGACATGATAGGATGAAATCAAAGGGTGACTTCGAACAGACTGAAAGCTGTAAGTAATGCATATGTACTTGCCATAGAACAGGAACAAAAGAATGCAATGTGTAAACCAGTGCTCAAGGGAGGCCCGGAGATATTTTTTTTCTTTCGTACTCCGCCTAAATGGATAGATGAGATTTCGAGTCTGGTTGGGTATCTTCAACGCCAAAGAGGAGACCATAGGAGCGTATGACGGGAAGACTCTGCAGCTCTTCAGCTATTGCAATTTGCTGAGCTACTGTTGGGCGTCTATATCTAATGCTAATACCCTTCAAATTCTGTTTTCTCGCCACATTATTTTTATTTCTCAATCAAAGAGTATGGATAGTAACAGAAATTAGAGGATTATTCCTATTTTTAAAAGCCTCAATTTTATTTTATTTGTTTTCTGTTGTATGGAATCTATATACAGTTCGAGAAATTTCAATTTACTCCCGTTTGGTTTTATCCCTTTGTTAGTTCAGTCAGGGTCCATATTCTCATTTTATTGTTCTTCTTTTCAAAGATGAGCCACTCAAAGCTCAACCCGGTTGAACGGGGGCCAGTTGAGGAACGATCCGCGAGGTATGGTTCTGATCACGACCGGTCGGCTGCAACTGATCGTTTCTCAATCTGTAGGCCCCCTTCCTCTGCGTATGTACTACATGAATGGCTCGACCGGTCAAGTACTACTCTTTTGCTGCCAATGTGTTCGATGCAAGAGAAATGTTTAGACTCTCAGGTCGATAAATTGCCACCATCAGCCCCAGAGATTTTAGAACTCGTCATTTTAGAAGTCACTTTTCATTCTAAAATGTACGTCTCGTTATGTACAACTCAATGGTGTTGTCTCGTGTTTTTTGCTATATTTTTTGGTACACATCACGTCTTACATCGCAAGATATTGTTCCACCTACGTATCGATGTCCGTCTGAATTCAGCTACTGAAATATTTTGACTCTGAATCTGATATTGCTCTGAGGTAGCAACTGCAGTGACTTTTTTTTGCATCCTTGCTAGAAACTGACAACAATTAGACATTATCGGTTTGTCGTCCACAAGTTTTGCAGGTAAACACATTTCCGTTTACACTTCATTCACCCGCTACAAAAATGGGTGTAGGGAAAGGGCATTTTCATTACTGCTTCGGCCTTCATTGCCAACCTTGTAGAGAATAAAATCGCTTGTTCAAGGACATTCGCTTGTGCTATGATGATGTAGATGGGAAAACTTACCAGATTGTATATAAGGATGTAGCTTCAAAGTTTCAAGCTTATTTAGTTTATTCAACTTAGCAGCAAGTATGACTTCTTCCATTGTGACAACATCAGTGTGATATTCATGCCATAGATAAATACATTCATCCGCCGAAAATTAAATTCCAGAAGTAGATGCTCAAGGATTTCGAATAAAGTTAAAGCTTAGGACTGCTATTAATGAGCTGTGTGATAAAATTGTAACCACTTTGTTAATCCACCGATTTTTTAGTGAAACTCTTAAAACAAATAGAAATTTACTGGTGGTTCGTTAGAAAACTGCAACACAATCTGCAAAAAATTGTATTCTGATAACCATGTGGATCTCGAACACTGAAATTATTTCACATGGATTTTGAATTTTGAATTTTGTATTTATGCGTCAACATTTCAAAGCATGATATGCTGGCATATCATTAACAGCTTCAAAATAATTTTTCTTTTCTTAGGCTTATGTCCACATGAAATAAGTACTAGATGTCACAGCCTGTGTTAAACCGAACTGGATGTCTTGTGGAATGTAATGGTGCCCTAAACCCTAAACCCCTAAACTCAAGAGGTCAAGGGATCTCACCGCCTAGAGGCCTAAGCAGAAAGATAATAGTAGACGGAGTTTTTCGTAGAGAGCATGAGGCAGTTTTCATTTATGCCGAGCCCAGCAACAGTTTTGAAGCTACAACGTCGTCGAAAGCAAGTTAACTCTTCATAAGGAATCTGGTTTACAACGAGGCAGGTGGTTCACATGTAAGAGGCTAAATCTGGTCCTCCAAGATCTCAATAATCATAATCTAGACCAAAATGTACTCAATAATTCGAGATCAGTCAATATTACTTCATTAATACCAACACACCCGTTGGCATCAAGCAGTATAATCCAACTACAGCACTCCCTGCTTGCATTTGAAGGAGAGCTGTTGGCTTGTTCGAGGAATTCGACATTTTAGACGAGGCACTTTGATGCCACCTAATCATAAAAGGAAAGTTGTCTAAGAACTGCAAGCCTACACGGGTAGCTTCTCTCGAGGAGTGATGAGCTCCTCATACTTGATGCCCAGCAAGTTCTCTATGATGATGTGGTAAGTGAGCTTCTCATCTGGTCGGCAATACTTCTTGCCATGGGGCTCGTACAATATAACACTCCGGCGGCTGAAAGGATCCGTCACCCTTCTCCTACTGCCCAGCAGATGCTCAATTTCGCATCCCAAATGCTCAAGAAGCTGCTTCAGATCGCTCCACTCGAGAGTATGGTTCGTCTTACCCCAGAGGATGTCTCGAGTCCGCATGTCTTGGGTATTAATCCGATCTACATTGCGGTGAGCCTGTGGACTTGACGCAGGAGAATCGAGACTACCATTGCTGTTATATTGGCGATTGTGAGGTCGCTCATTCTCATCAAAGACACAATCATCGGATCGAACAAAGTGCAGAAAATAACAGACTGGTAATGGTAGGAGCGAGTCAGATTTAGGTGCTCTTTCACCTCGAGGGGATTTTGGAGAAGCTGGAGTAGCCTCGGGTTCATCGCTGGTAGCCAAGGGGTGGTCCGGGTCCAGTGAGATGAGCTCCATCTCCGGCCAGAAGAGCTTGGGTTCCATGCATGCAGAAGCTGGGATTTGTTCGTGGTCGAGTGCCTGCGCCCTGTCGTCGTCGCTGGTGTCCATCTGTGGAGCTTTTGCACCTCCCCCTCCTCCTCCTCCTCCTCCTCCTGCACCCGAGTGCTGATTGCATTTCTGTTTGTGCCTGCGCTTGCTCCTCTGCTCCTTTTTCTGGGCGGATTTCTCGTTCTGCTTCAAACGCTTGGCTTCAGCTGATGGCAACAGCGAGCGCTCGTCCTCGCCCCAGTGGGAGAGGATGGCCGGGAACAGATGCAAATACTTGGCCCTCAGAGCCTCGAACTGCTTCTCGGTGATCTCCGAGTCCATTTCGGCTTCGTCGAACATCATGAAAAAGTCCTTGGAGTGGAATCTTCTGAACCTGTTTTCCTTCGAGATCAGTCGGTACAAAGTGGGAACATCGCCGACGAGTCCTGGGGTTCGGAGCTTGGTGACATCTCTGTAGGTTTCTGACAGTCCCAGCAGTTCATCATGTCGAGCGGACACGTCTTTGTCCTTCACATCGAACCTGTACTTGGTGATGGCCAGCTTGACTTCGGCTTCCGGCAGGAGGAACTGCGCCGCATTAAGAGCTAGTCGGAGAGCTTGGAATCGAGCAGCGAACTCATCGACTGCGCCCATGACAGACGGATCGATGAAATTGACCTGCTCTGGAAATTGCTCACAAGCCAGTTTGAAATCTTGCAGCAGATAAATCACGTGTGGGACGTTCCACAAGTTCACCGTACTGAGCTTCAGGACCAGCAAGTGGATGTCCAGATCGGCCTCTAAGGCAGGCAGGTGGTAGCTGTAGAAAGGGTACATGCTCTTCTGGCATATCTGATGTTGTAAGTTGCGCACCTTCTGCAGCTGATGCTGAGAATACAGAAGAGCCCAGAACACTTGAGTGATCAATTGTATGAGAGATCTCTTGGCTTTCTCCGTCATTACCGTCTGCCCATCCTCTTCCTCGTCAAAATTATTGACATGATCCATCAGACTGGTGGCAGTCAGTTCCAAAATGCGCCAGAACGAGCTTGTGGTTCTATTCTCAAGGAGGTACCCAAAAGCATTAAGGATGTGGAACTTTGCCTTCTCCTGCATCCTTGCCTGACCTTGGAGGTGGAAGCTCAAGTTCTCCTCATCAGGCTCGACCTCTGCCGTCAGTAAGGATCTGACCGGACCACTGAGCTGCAAGCTGCTCTCGGTGTCGAAGAGAACTGCAAACCCTTCCTCTAACACCTCCTTACCTCCAGAGAAAGTGTGAAAGTCCGTGATCAACACCGATGATTGGAGGGCAAAGTGGTACCTCTGACTTCCAGCAATTCCTCTCAAAGCTTCGAAGGTTGGAAGCAGATGCCTCCGGATCTCGTCAACAGAAGCCGTCGCTTCATCAATCTTGGACAAAGGCGGGAGTTTGACGAGGTGCATGTTGTACTCATGAAACGCGGGCATTTTGTTGACCTTGTTCGAGTAGTAGACCTGTTGCATCCACAACCAACGTTGTGCCAACAGGGTGGCCTCCTCCTCCCTGGATGGATCTGCTTGGACGATTTGTATACACTGCCATGGCAAATCAGGTACATTGTTGTCTGGTAATTGGAACCCATTCAACAGGTTCCGCAACTTCAAGCTGAATAGCTTGCAATCACCACAAATATCCCGTGCATGAGCCTTGCAGTAGTAAAGACAGTTCAGAAACTGAATTCTCTGCGATGTTTCGACAGAAGGATCCAATTCTCCCTCGTACTCCGCTTTAAGTACCCCATCTATTTGAGCCAAAGCTCTGGCTTTCTCTTGTTCACGACGCTGTTTGTAACGAGCACTCATTGCAAGCTTGATAGCCCCAGACAAGCACACTTTCGAGGACCGGAAAAATGTCTATTGCAAAATGATATTGAAAATTAGATAATTCTTTTGAGGAAACTACGAACCTCTACTACACTTGATCGACGACGAAGCAGATATGTACCACCATCTTCTGATTGAGATGACTTCGTTCGTCTCTTGCTCGCTGCTGGAATACAAGTGGAGGCTCGTTGATGTCGGAGCTGTCTGAGGCAGAACTACACATTTCAACAACTTCAGAAGTAGGTTGACGATATGTTTCCTCTCAATACCGAAGCTTTTGCTACTACTCTCACTGCAGATAGAAATAGGTTCTGCATTTTTGCTCTCAAGAATCTTGTTGCTGGTCGTCAGACTTTATCTGATCTCCGAATCTGGACACTTGGATGCGATAGAAGGACAGAAATATCAAGGGAAAACTCTGTGAAAAACCGGAGGTGTAGAGGATTCAGTGTACCGTTCTCAGCGGCCGGGAACTAATATTGAATCGAAGCCTTGCGGGTGTCCGACCTTTCCTTGTAGCTCATGCAGTTTGCATTTGATGTACAAGCTCATGTAAGATTGGACACCGTAGTTGCAGCGTACGTCTTTCTCCATTGAATGCTTACTTTTGAGTTGGAAAATGACTTGTAGTGGTTCTACGTCCAGCCGTGCTGTGGCCCTATGGAAAACGATGGCACAACAGTCCAAATTTCGGTTCCAACTTCCGGATTTCCTAACAATAGCATTCATACTGAGTGTCAGAGTTGCAAGCTGGACTTGCCCATCCGATTCATATTTCTTGGAAGAACAACCATATCCACTATGGACGGACGTTATCCGAGATTCGCAACCAACCATAAATATTGTTACTGATGCATAGATTTCTATCATTGACAAATTATTAGGCTTCTATCACTCTTAAGAGATCATACAATGTCGTGGTGTATAAGCTTCCTAGTTTCACCACTTGAAGTACATTTCCATCATTATGTGGTCCCAGATTAATAAATGATTAGCAAAATTCATGATCAAGTTAATATATTCACTTAAGAAAACGTATTCAACAAGCTTTTGCAAGGGCTTTCATTTTTGATACGATGGTTATTTGTTTCGGAAGATGGAATCTCATCTTGATCAGATTTTTTAAAAAATTGAGCTGATGATGGAAACATGTGACTTAGATCCACTGAGGCTTATGCAAAATTTTATATTTCTGAGCACAGTATCATTCTCTCGCTACTAGAAGGAATAAACAAGTCCATAGAAAGTAAATTGACATCTTTCTTGCAATTGAGAAATCTTGTTTGGACTTACAACCATATGATAGGTTTGATAGAAAATTCCTGAACCATCCATGAAATAATTCCTCTCTGCTTTGCTTTACTCCCCGATAAACTAATGTAAGAGTCACTGTCATATTCCATGACAATTGTTAAGGAAAGAGAAGATTGAACATCCAATAACGAAGATAATACAATTTACAGTTCAGTTGCAGGAGGCCCTTTGGAACATGTCCAGGAACCACTGAACTGAAAGTAAATTTATTACGGTAGAAAAACAATCCACGGATCAGGAAATTCGGCTACCACGTGCTTAATCATGTAAGTCACTTTGAAGTACGAACTCAGTGAAGACAAAGTAGCCAGTACATGTTGGAAATCCTATGAACTGGCTGTAGATGATTTGCTTTATTTCCATCTGATATTTTTCTCAAAGTAAGTCATACAATACAAAGCAATTTCTGCAATATTGGATGATTTTCAGGACGACTATGATTGGAAATCTAAGGTCATGCAAAGATCTGTGACGTTCCCATTTCGACCGGTCAATACGGATACTATGCTGGCTTGACTGTTCACAATCACCGGGTCACTGTCAATGACTTTGCTATAAGGAAGTTGGAGATGGCACGGGCTTACTTCTAATGATAGTTTTAGAACTGCCAGTCAGACTGAATGACTTGTAAGATCTCAAAGATGACACCTACTCGAAAAGGAGGTTCTAAGAACCCTCCAAAAAAGTCAGCTTGATGAGACAGATATCAAATCTCCGATCTTATCTCGGAATGATCTGAAAATTTAAGAAACAAAGAACAAACACCGATGGTTGAAACGTCAATCGATGGGGCTATGAATCGTTGTGACTTATGTAGGAAGTTACATTAGAGCAGTGTCGATACTCAGAATCATCAAAGAGTATAACCAGAAAGAACATTTGACGGGAGTCTGAGAGTCTGAAAACTGTGTGGATGTAAGAAAGAGATCCCCATCGACAACATAGAGCTCGCCGTTGCCACTGTTAACGAATTCATCCACGTTTCTTGCCGTGAATGAGTACACTATTGCAAGTTTCACCATACAGATAAGTATCAGCAAGAACTCTCGCTTCAAACTTTATCATATAAAATGCCAAGATTGATTGATTACATGGAATTATTATAGACCCCAGTTTCCTCTTGTCTAGGAGCTATGCAAAACTATGGCATCAATTTAATACAGTCGTGTCAAAGAAAGGACCTAAGTCATATGCCAGTGCCATAAGCATAGCGATGTTGGTTCGAGAGTGGCGATCCAAACTTTTTCTTATTAATGGGGCTGATTCAAAAGAATTATTAGCACAAAATTGATTTAGATGAATTGGACCTTGAACTCAGTCAACTAAAATGATGACGTCGGGAGAGTGGGCAGCATGCCAGACACCCACTCGTGCAATTATAATGTTTGGTTGACTCAGTTGAAAGTGTGACTGGAGGACCGTGAAGGTTGAGTGGCAAGCTAAATCGTCGTATTTCAGTTGGATTCAGTTCTAGATTTCCTGTCAAAGTGTTTGTTCAATACTACTAACATGCGATTGAATCCATGGCCGTGCGAGGACGAGAGATCCCCAGTAGTCAAAATAAGAAATCTGTTGATAGCGCCTTTCCGATATTGTAATCAGTCTATGCTGAGGATGGTGACTGACAACGTCAAAAAGTCGCCAAAGGAATTTGGGATATAGGACTGTTCATGTGAGAAGGATTGGTGTCCAGCCGCCATTGTATTTAAGATCGTGACAGCATTGTATACTGTTTATGACAAATCAAAATACATTCAATTGTCAAAGGGACTAGCCTAATATGAGATTTGAGAATATGTGGGTGATATTTTTTTCTTATTTCGAAACGTACTGGTGTTTTTATCATTGACAGAACTATTGGTGGTAGATTGTACATCGATTTCAAAACCCAACTTTTACAGATATGAAAACTTTTTGTACCAATATAAATATTGGTATTGTTATGAGGGGCATAAAATCACAGATACAAAATTGATAATATCATATGTTTAATATTTGAAGTCTCTAAAAGTACAGACAGATCATAGATTAGAGTTGCACATATTACACACTGATGAAGAACAATGAAGCAAAATTCAAGCTTGAAGGATTCGCAAAGCTTGTGCTTGTTTGACCATAAGAGATACAAATGTCACATGAATAGCTTTGATTCGAAGTCAAAATCTACCGTTATTTTGTATTTTTACATATAACAAATTTCAATATGATAAAAATATGATATACAACGCTTAAATAATATTTGATAGTGTTTTCGAAAATCAAATAGAAACCTGGAAAAGATAAATATCACTCGGACCTAAATAAATATAAGTTGATCATGTATCAAATAAATTTTTTTCATAAATAGAGGAAATAAAAATTTGAATGTCAAGTTTTTCAATTCCAAAGATTATCACTATGTGATAAATATTTTATTTCATATGAACTGAAATATTTTTCCAATTATATATATATATATATATATATATAATATTGTTTATATGTTCAATAGAAGTCATATTTTTACCTTGAAATAAATAAATTCCTTTCTTTTAAAATGAAATACTACAAATTGACTTTGGACAAAAACGAGAAGATTTTTTAGAAGAAGCGCAAAACTGCTGTAGCAAGCAAAACGGAGGAGAAAATTGTTACTTAAGGGAAAGAAAAGAAGTCTTAAGACCAAAACCATATTGACGTTGCAGTCACAAAGTATTGAAAAAATAGTAAGTAAAAAATGAAAGACCAAAAAACGACTCTGGAGAAAGAGAAAAAGATTCTTGAGGGGAAGTGCGAAGTATTTTTGCAAATAAAGCAAAGAAGAATGTAGTTACTTCTTGGAAAATTAAAAGGCTGAGGGGGAAAAAATATTGATGTCGCATTCATTGAGGGTGGAAACTGAAAAAAAAATCAAGAGGGAAAAAAAATTATTCCAAAACAATACAACAGAATATTTTGTTTGGATTCATTTTTGAGCAGAAGCGCAAAGTTGCTTTCGCTTGCAAAGCAGAGGTGAAAGTAGTTACTTCTGGAGAAATTTTTAAAAAGTCTGACGGCAAAAACCATGTTCATCTCGCAATCACGCAAGATGGAGAGAAAGAAGCAAAAAGAGTAGGAGAATTAAAAAATGGCTAGTTCTATGAAGGCAGCCGTGACAAAGTCAGAGATGATTGTGGCGGTGGGTGCAAAGGGAAGGTGCAAAGTTTTTGCCACAAGCAAAGTGGAGTCAAAAGTAGTTAATCTTGGGAAAAAAAAAAGGTTGATAGCAAAAAACAAACTGATGTCACATTTACTTAGGATGGCGAGAAAAAAGGCTTAAGAGAAGAAAGACAATTAAATTCCTTGGGACGAATAGGAGAAAATTCTTCAGGAACACCTCAAAGCTCTTGCCGCAAGAAAAGCACAGTAGGAGGTAGTTAATCCTGGGAAAATTTAAAAGTCTCACAGTGCAAATTATGTTGATATCGTAGTCATGGAGGATGGCAAGAAAAGAAAGAAAAGTTGGAAGACAAAGAAATGATGTTGGAAGAATGTAGTTACTCTTGGGGTTAAAAAAATAATTGAGATCGAAATCCATAGTGATGTCGTAGTCATGGAGTATGACAAGAAGAAAGAAGAAAAGTAGAAAGACAAAAAAATGACTACTCTTCTTCATGATGTCGATCAAGACATCATGAAGACTACTAGAAGCAAGACTCTAGATGCCATGGAGAGGAGATTGCTATACATAACTCATGGACAATTGAGCAACAATTGTCCATGGCAGTAAGATTTGGTTCCAAACGTGATAGTATGATTGCCATGACTCTCAATAGCAAATGTCAAAGTGAGAATTCATAGCCATAGTGCTGGAGTTGTTACGCGGCTACTTAAGAAAGTTTTAGTCGTTCAATGAAAAATTGGATTGAGGCTTCTGAATAGAAAGAAAAATTGAAATGTGTGAGTGACTTACTAAAGAATCCATGAAACCAGCAGGACCGAAATAGAAGTAAGTTCAGTCCACGGTAAAGCTAGCTTTAAATCCAATGTTTGTATTGTCTCTTTTGGCAATCGGGGAAACGATGCCGTTAGCGCAAGGTTTATGCACAATTTAAATTTTTTTTACTCACCAGAGGAAAAGAGAATTGTGTGGTAAGAACATAGGTAAATCTTCAATAAGGCGTATAGAAGAAGATGCATGGCAGTGGTAATTGATGATGCCTATGATTGATCTCGGAGGTAGGATAGTGTAATAACCCACCAAAGGCTAAAACTGCAGTATGGTGGTAAAAAGATCGAACCCACAGGGACAGAGGCAACACACAGAGTAAAAGTGT